TTGATCGTTCTGTGAAGGGTAACGTTAGCTTTCAACGGGCTCCGTTAGGAGATGCGGAAAGGAAATAGTACTCTTCGCTATAAGGCACGCCCCAGATGCTCGGAATATACCGCTTCGTTATAGTTGACTTGTCTGCAGCACGAATAAGTGCTTCCTCAGGCCCAGGTCCAGCCATCATTTCCAGAGTCGAAATCACTGTTCCGATCTTGTTCTCCTCCAAGACTTTAGCTAAGCCTGGAATGTTTTCATAGTCTACAGTAACAATGCGTGAGCCGAACTCCTGTTCCTTTTCCTTGGAAGGCTTTTTGTTCGTTAGACGTCAGTATCTTTGATACTAGTTAAAATGTAAGGCCAGGGGGCGTACAAAACATACCTTGCGAGATAGAATAACCACTTCGAACTTGCCTGTGGCATTGAGTGCGTCAATAATAGCACGACCAACGCCGCCAGTACCTCCAGCTACAGCGATGACAGACATGGCGCAGAACTGCACCGGGCGTGGTTATGTCGTGACAGAAGTGAGGGAGATAAAACAGGGTCAAGAATGACGGATAGAAAGCCTAAAGCAATAATTCTGGAACTCGATAAAGGGAATTAGGTTTCCCTGCTATTTGTATATGTTGTAGCGAAAGAACTTCCCGCTATTCCGCAATGCGGAGTTTTACCTTATGGACTACTACAGCCCGCAGGGGGAGTTTTTGTAATTCCGCACAGATCGTCGGTATCTTCCCACAGCGAAATTCCTACGATTGGTGATGACTTTGGTACAGCACCAATAACATATCTTCGGAGCCATAGTCCTAAAGCTGGCCAATTGTGGCTAGTGTACTAGAGTTCACATCATGATCACTATTGGTAGTTTGAGTTATGTCAATAAATTAGGCGCGAGCACCAGCAGTCTCCCGCTGACAGATCGCCGGAGGCAATTCGAAACGAAGCCACGTTCTGACCAGTAGGTATTCCTGGACGAGCGCCGACTAAGCAGATCCCACCGCTGGATCACCCGCGCATTCAGATGAGTATCAACACTCAATATCACCAAAACCTTGCTCGGTTGTTAGCTTATCCGCTCTCCAAAGGCTAAAGAACTCCGCGCGCTCGCGCCCGGATTCTAAGAAAAACCCCGTCGGGCCCGGATTCTAGCAATACTCCGCTCCGGGCTCCATGCTAGGACTAGTGAATGGACGCTAGGTAATCAGTTCGTAGACAACTTCTCTCAGCTTTGGTGGCGTGGTAGGTTTCTCGTGGCTGGAAAGACGATATCGCACGAGGATTATAGTGATGAGAGGATGCAGCAGTTGAGAAGGTGTTGGTGGAGGACTGGAATGAAGGAATGACTGATGATAATTATAGCGAATCGAATGTTAACATTTTCACATCTGCCTCTTGCAAGTTAATTCTAGCAGTTAGGAAACCTTATCCTCTAAGGTATTGATACAAAGAGGGGGTCAATGCACATAGTGTATGTTCGTAACCAGAGAGCTGGGCTATTCGAACGACATCCGTCCAAAGTATAGTGCAGACACATTCCAGCATGCTTTTCATAAGCTGGTATTGGATGTTGTATATCTCCACACCGTTTATCAACCAAGCAAGCAGTCCAAAACTTTACTTCGGCAAATACCATTCGTCTTGTTATTATCCGTACCTTAAGCTATCTGTGTTGGATTACCAGGCGAAACTCTCCTCAACTAATCTCACAACTACCCCTTTCATCCCTAATTCCGTAACCGTAGCTCTGACTTCGTCTGCCATACCTGCTGGTCCACAAACAACTACCGTTGTGCCACCCAAAGCCCTTCCAAGCTCTTCCGTAAGAGCGTTCTTGAGATCAATACGTCGTCCAACAGAGATTGAAACATCAAAGTCATTCCACGTCTCTTGACCATCTGCGGTGAAATCGACACGTGGGACAATTGTTCGTACCGCCTCCACGAGTGGCTCGGTCCTCACGCCCCAGAGCAGCTTCTTCTTGCCTCCGAGACCTAGCGCACTTGGACTTTGGTTGAGATACGATAGTAAGCCGCTGATACCAACGCCTCCTGCTACACAGACCACGTTGGGGTACTCGATATCTGGTGACGAGATTGAAGAAGTCAGTATAGATGACTGGTGGCCGTAAGAGCCTTCAATCAGGACAGGGATACCGCCAGTTGAGTTTGCGGAGGCCGACAAGAGAGAAGTCAAACCTCCGTGGCGTCGAACCAAGATGACTAGGCCGAGGACCTTGGTTTCGGATGAGTATTGCTCAAAGTCAGTTACATTTGCAGTATTCTTCTCTTCCAAACTGGAGTTCTCTCTGCCATTCTGTGATTGGGTTTTGGGAGGGCCGTTAGGGCGAGTAGAGACAGCCGCCACAGAGAACGGATGATTCTCCCATACGCGCCATGTCAACGTCGGGAAGTACAGGTAGACGTGGCCTTCTGCTTGTACGCCGGGAACAGTGATCTGAAGGTAATCTTCGTCTATGACCGTGATGATTGCTCTCTTGACGCCGTGCTGCAGCACTCTCATAGGCCTAGCCAGCATGCGGTCGAATATCCAGAAAGCGAACGTAATCCAAATCCAGGTTTGATATCCCCATTGCCACTCATATCGATAAAAGATGTGCAGCATGCAGCCTATCATGGACAAAAGAGCGAGGACCACGTGAGATGCCAGAAAAGCCTCGTATAGCTTCTTTCGGAGTGGAAGGATGGACAAAGGCATGAGAAGAACCAAAGCCAAGGTAGCCACAATACCCCAGACCCAGTAATCTTCCTTTGCTTCCTTTTCGTACGCACCTTCACCCTTCGCAGGGTCTAGGTAGATCTGCAAGTAGATGGCAGAATGTAAGCACGCCTGTAACATGCAGATTACAGCGATCCAACGGTGAAGTAGAAGGAAGGTCGAGTAGGACCAGTCGGTGACCCAAAGTAGAAGGCTATTCCGGCTTGAGAAGAGAACAGCGAGGGCAAGATTGACGAAGCTCAAAATGCCGACACGGTTGCTGATGTATGCCACAAGCTGCTGCTCGACGGAGCTGTACCACGACATGGGGTCTCTGAGTTCGTATCCGACCGATGAAAGGATTATGTTGATGACCCAGATGTACGCGATGAATAGGCCCTGGCCGCGGGTGGGAATAAAGCCAAGTCCGAGAACTGGGACGGCGTGGTAGCTTCCGAACATAGGGGCGTCGATATATGTGGCATAGAATCGGGAGATGATGGATTGAGAAATTGGGAGGAATCGAAGGCAGGACAAGGCGATGGGGATAGCTACACAAGTAGCCATAAGAATGATTCTATCTTTCGGTTAGTCTAGAGGAATGGAGATCTTGTCGCCATGGTACGTACCCATATCTCTCCGTCACAGTCTCCATCTTCTCAAAAACATCATCGGCGTTGAAGTTGCTCAGCCACACATCCTCGTCCACAAAAGAAGTCTTATTTAGCACAGCCTCCGAGTCAAGGATGCTCTTCGGTGGAGATGCAGTGACAGAAGATAAGGCAACCTGATACGAGTACTTGGGCGAAGGTTGAGCTTTGAGTCTTCCCACAATTTCCATCTCCCAAATACCTTCAAGGGTCGAGTTCTTCACCTCTGTACAGTGGGTATAGAAACACCACGCCATAGTTTGAAGAAATATATCATTGGTAGCTTTACACTCTGGTGTTGCGGCAGCCATATGCATTGAGCCCATGTCTTCACCCATGCCGTGGTCATCATCGCATTGTAAAGCCCACCCGTTGACTGTGTCGATGCATGCGAAAGCGCAGGGAGGATCATACATGGAGATGCCGTAGCCGATAAGGCCGTATCGTTCGCGGCCTGATGTTGTCATTGCCCAGGCGCTAGGAGGGCAGAGGCCCACGAGAGCTAGAGCTGAGAGGAGCGATCGCATGATGGCGGACAGTAAGGACGCTCAGTAGTGGGCAATGGTTGAGAGAGCAACTTTTCCAATTGACCTCTTTTTATATGTATCTAGATACTCAAGATCCGTGGCGTCGACTGACAAGGATTAGAGAGAGTTTTATCAGGTGAGGTCGGTAAGTACAGGCATCGATGTGGAGTAACCGTACCATTGGACTTTTGGTGTGATATTGTGTCTCACATGAGGTCCCAGGCGCGCCATGGCTTATTATTCCAGACTATACCAGCAACTCAAGAGAATGATTGAGCATATATTAGCTGTTTAGTGGCTTCGACTGGAACCCACTAGCCTTGCAGGACCCGCTGCCACAGACTTAATGGCAAGGAATAATTGAAGCCTATCTCGGGGAATACTAATCCAGCTCGTTAAAGGCTTTCTCCGTTAAATGTTTCGATATTGCTATCTTTTCATAGGCTGGACTGATTGTGTGGGGCCGCTATACAAGAGGCTGTTGTGACCCCATGCCCAAGTGAAACTCGCTCAAATGCGCGCATTCTCTCAAGTCGTAGGTGGATCCTCCAGCTTGTCGGTTGCTAAGCCTGCAAGATATGGGACTGGAAATCTGTAATCAAGCTGTTTAAGCTTTCTGTCTTTGTTTTCGGTTTTTTTTGGGGGTTGTCCTGTACCTGTGACGTTTTCAGACAGACACGATTTGGTCGTTGCAGCATACGTTCTGGTTAGATGAGAAACTAAAACTCTATATAGCTATTATAAACAGGTATCTCTATGCTTAGGGAAGCAAGGTTAGTGATTTTCTAGAAACTTAGCTGGACAGATACACATTAGAATTCGCTAATAGGCAAATAATCAACCATCTCAGTTTTGGTGGCGTGGTGGGTTTATCATGGCTGGAATGACGATAGCGCGCGACTTGACTAAATATATCTTTCCCTCCATCGAAGAATCTATAGAGAAGACAGATTACAAGTAGATACATATGGAAGTAATTATAGTAAGTGGAAGGCAATGAAACGAAAGAGTGGTGGAAGGGTTAATCACGGCTAGGGCGGTTGCTGTTGTCAGTGACCTTGTTATACATGCCCAAGCCAGGCGACAGATATCAAAATCATCACATGATAGTGATGGGCGAATGGTTTAGTGGTATAATACTCCCTTAGCAACTTCTCTACGAGACTTTCCTTCTGGGAGTGGTCCAGGGTTCGATTCCCTGTTCGTCCAACTTCGACGGCTCAATACCGTCATTATCCACTCTTTTTGCCATTCGAACCCTTCTCTCATTTGATTGAGGTACAAACAAACTACTTGAGAGTTTGTGGCCAATAAGAAGCTGGAGACTGATTAATGTCAAGTATGACACCAATCAGAACTGAGATTTAGCGACCTGCCGTGCCGCAATACGCCTTACGTTTGATTGCGGGGGCAGGGCAGACTACCAAGACATCCCGCTGGCAGAGCTATTGTGTCTATTGCACAGAAGGATGCCTAAACCTTCTCAGAAGCTGAATTGAATCATTTTAAATCGTCCACCAGCCCCAACTTGACTTGTGACTGAACAGGTCATTATCATAACAGACCATGGCATCGTATCGATACAGGCCGCTCCAGGCTGCAATCCAAGAGATCCGGTTTGTTCATCTTCTACCTGGGCAGTTCACGGACACCATCAAGATCCGCATCGTCCACTCACCGTTTCCGCTACATCCAGCACCCAAGTCTAATTACTACAACCCTCATGTCAATAGTCTGAAGGCTTCGGTGCCCCGGCCGTGGTCGGTAGAAGAGACTGAACGTGGTAACCTCATCTTATTCAATGTGGCTACTGGCGAGACGCGTCCTATTGATGTTCCCTCGTATGGTTCATCAGAGGAGTCCCAGGAATATCAGCCACGATATGAAGCATTGTCATATGTCTGGGGAACCGGCAACATTTCTGAACTTGCCCAAGTGGAATCTGAGCATTCTCAATCAAACCAGGCCCCAACAACTATTGGAGTTCGCCCCAACCTCGCTTCAGCACTGCGTCACCTACGGTCTCCTAACGAGACTCGTGTCTTATGGATCGACGCTATATGCATCAACCAAGATGATATCCCCGAGCGAAACGAACAGGTCAAGAGAATGACCAACATCTACGCCTTCGCCCATCAAGTGGTAGCCTGGCTTGGTGAAGAAGCAGATAACAGCAAACATGCCCTCGCCACACTGCAGCATGTTTCGCAGCAACTTGAGGCAACAAAGGCAGGTCGTGTCATCGCCGCCCCTGGCGCCACAGAGCCTAGGCTATGGAGGAATGACCATGCGCCACACTTCGAACAGCAAACCTGGCAGGCACTGATGCAATTTGTTCAACGCGACTGGTTCTATCGACTCTGGTGCTGGCAGGAGATCAATCTCGCTGGCCGGGGTCACATGCAGTGCGGAAGTGATAAGATACAGTGGAACGACTTTTGGCTCGCCATACTCTGTCTCAACAACAAAAATACTTCACTAAACATCAACTTTCGCGAACGATGTCGACATATTGTTTTTCTGAAGTACGGTACGAGAGGTCACTCCATGGCTAACATTCTGGATATCAGTCGTAGCAAAGGTTGTGTCAACCCCAGAGATAAGATATACGGCCTCTTGGGTATCACGGCGTCGTACTTCAGCTCCAGAATCACAGTTGATTACCTGCGACCTCTCGAGGATGTTTACAAAGAGGCATTTCTGGCCCATCTTCACGTCACAGAACGACTGGAACTGCTAAAGCATTGCGATCTGACTAATCGTCAAATCAATGGTCCATCTTGGGTGCCTGATTGGTCCAAGACAGAACTTGCAGCACCGCTTCTCAGCGAGCAACTCTCCTCTGGTATATCCCGAGCATATTTTACACACAAAGAGCCAGACATGCTTGAAGTCAAGGGGATCCAGCACACCATAATCAAGTCCATCAGTGGCATCGCATCAAAGATAGAAGAGGAGACGCTGCTTGCAGTGAGAGATTGGTTTCAGGATCTGCCAGCCGGCAATTACCTCACTGGTGAAAGCATGGAGACCGCCTTTGTACTAACACTCTGTATGGAACGGACAAGGGAGCGACATCCATATAACCACAACAAAAGCAATGCAGAATGGGTTAAAACGCTGCATAAGATGTTGAGTTTAACCAAAGACTCGCGGGACGACCCGTTCTACTCTGAGAGGGAGACCGCAAACACAATACAAAAGATCCGTGGCCGTCGCCTTTTCACGACCGAGAACGGTCTAATTGGCACTGCGCCAGCATGTACACAGATCGGTAAATCAGACCTGAACCCCGTTTGAAGAGAGTGAAGTGCTAACGTGGTTAGGCGATTCGATATGCCTTTTACTAGGGACCTACGCTCCCATGGTTTTGCGTCCAACCTCTTCCGGAACATTCCAAGTAGTCGGAGAATGTTACGTCCACGGCCTCTCAGATGCAGTGTGCTTTCTTGGCCCATTACAAACGCACTGGAAGGCTATCATAAAGGGGGATGCACTGGGTAGACCGTTTCAGCTATTCATGAGCATGACGAATGGACAAGAGACAATGGATGATCCACGGTTGCCGTTACCGCCAAATTGGGAACGAACGACATATGAGAGACTTCCTGAGGATCCTGCTCTCTTCCAGAAATTTAGGAATGTTGAAACGGGGGAAGTTATTAACTATGATCCAAGGTTGACACCTGAGGCGTTGGAAGCTCGTGGTGTTCAACTGCAAACATTCAAGTTGGTCTAAAGGATTTTCTTATGCTTATGATTCCAAGCGGAGCATGCCACTGGCTTTTTGATGTTCCTCTAAAGTATGCCTATACTCCATCTACAATAGCGATTTCTCAATACAAAAAAACGGTATCTGGCAGCTTGTTGTCCCATGATAAGTAGATCCAAGTCCCTCGTGAGCTTTTTCGCGTGAACAAAGTTAGCTCATAAGGTTAAGCAATCCGGCGGCCTACCTGACCTACCCACTCCAACCGACGACAGCGGCATTCTAGTTGGTAAAGTCTGCCTTTCTTCCACCACGGCCGTCCACTGTAACGGCGGTCCTCGAGGAGGTATGTGCAGGTCTGGGAAAACGGGACTTTGATATGTGATTCAGGAAATGGTATCTGGTGGGCTTCCGACCGATCTGTTTACCGCATGGACTGTGTGGGCAAGGCAAAGGTTAGCGTTACTGATAATGGGTCCGAGATCACATACACTTCCGATGATGGTTATGTTATAACCGGCAAGAACTATAAGAGGCAGTCTGAGACATGGGTCTGTGGTACTAAGCCTGGTAGGAACGGCATGCCCGACATTGATCTCAAGGGTTTCCTTTTTGAGAACACTTTATACATTACAGGTTGTGAGGGGTGTCCGATCCCGAGTCTCTGTGACTACGATCACACTATGTGTTCTTTTGAGGTCGCTGCAGTTGATAAAGGAGTCTGCTCAAAGGTAGTGGAAATTTATAAGACAATGCTGTGGTCTGATGTGATGTTGATCTAGAGACGACCACGGTCACAGCCTCGTATGAGCTAGAGTCACAGGAGGTTCTGGTGGAAGACCAGCCCGGAGTACCAGGTGCTGGCAAGAGACTGCCATCCTGTGAGGCATCCGGATCGCCTGAAACTCACTGCACCAACGCCCAGCTGTCATCTGGCCCTTACAACCGAGCACCGACGTCGCCCAACCTCACCAAGATGCTTCTTCTCAACGGGTACCCCATCACGTACATTATCCTGTGGCTCCCGTGAGCTTGACACATAGCATTGCACCTTGTATAACATTCTACTTCGTACAACAGATCATTTTCCATAACATATTAATAACGTAATCCTCGCTACATCTCTTGAGTCGCTCCAGTATAAAATATTGCAAACACACAAAGTGATGTAACGGCTTATCTTTACAGCTTCTCAAACTTGATTAGGCACGAGGATTCCTAGGACACTTTAGTACTTGCTCACTCAAAGGATATAAGCGCCAGACGTACCTTGACCTTTGGGAATCTCTCATCGTAAAAGGTTTCGACACGAGCCGTGATGGCTGGGCTGGTATCCTCAAACCCAGGGGCTATCGACGTCTGGAACTTTCGGTAGATCGCTGCTGTAAGGGTGGTCATCTCGGCCATTGCCAGACTGAGTAATGTCAGAAACAGAAACGACAGATTAGACGGGGGTCGTTAACTTACTGCATGCCGATGCACATGCGTCCTCCACTAGAAAACCCCCAGAACCATCGATTCATCTCTGCTGCCTGGGGTCCCAGCCAACGCTCAGGGTCGAAGACGAGCGCATCTCTGAATACGTCTGTGTTTCGATGCATAACCCAAGGCGACATTCCTACAACAGTATTGGCGGGGATTGTATAGCCATCGACAACAATATCAACGTCGCAAGACCGGGGTTCTGTACTAGGTAGCGGGGCGTATAACCTCAACGTCTCCTTGATAACGGCTTGGAGATATTCGCAGCGGTCGCTCGCTTCGACCTTGGGGTTGCCGTGTGGGTTGAGTGAGTCTCCCGATAAGGCCATGACTTCTTCTCTGAGCTTCTCTTGGATCTTTTCGTTACCTGGTAGGGAGAGTGACCAGAGGAGAAACATGAGAGTGTCACTCGTGGTGTCAATGCCGGCGAGGAAATGGTCTGCACATTCAGAGGCCATTTGCATATCACGCATTCCACCCTTCTTCTGACTCTCGTGATACTGCCAGAGCCGTTCAAGAATGGAAACATATTCATCTGAGTCAAAAGTCAGTCTCACAGTTCTTCCAACTAGCGACATACCTACCTGGCTCATTTGTCAGTCCAACCGCATCCACTTCAGCTCGGAAGCTTTTGAAAGCCCCCAGCGCATATGCTCGGATGCCAGTATATGTAGTAGGTTGCTGCATTGGCAGCACGGGCTTCACCAGTTGCGCAGTAAGGCCAGTCTGCTGATACAGCCACTTCGTGAATGCCTTGAAGTGCACGATGAACCAAGATAACCTGCGACGAGAAGGATGCAGAATATCAGAAATAAGTGCCCGGTGCATCTTGGAACCCCGAATAGCTGCTGTCGCGCCATACTTTCCGTAGACAAACGCGGTGATGTTGTCGAGCGAATAATAATGCAAGGTGCTGAAAATCTCGCTAACAAGCTCTGGCTCACTCTCGATCAGATCCAAATACTGCCGAACCTTTCTCTCCACCATCTTTGTCGTCGCGGGCTTCAACACGGCAGAT